GCAGCCAATTCCCTGACCAGGCAAACATGTTGTTCAGGTCTGCTTGGGGCTCAGGTGTGTCCTCATCGTCCCTAATTTCACACCGCATTTTTACATCACCAGCGCAGAGGACCATAGAAGATTTAGTGATGTTTGGCAGCTCGTTTATGTATGGGAGAAAAAGTAGGGGGCCCAGGACTGTAACTTGCGACACCCCACTCTCTACCGACTTCCAAATGGAGAGTTGAGAATTGATCCTTACTCGTTGTCTCCTACCAACAAGAAACTCACCCATCCATGCTAGTAGACTGCCAGTGATTCCAAAACTTTCCAGTTTCCCAAGCAGCCTTCAATGAGGTACTTCGTCGGACGCCTTACTAAATTCAATGAAAATGATATCTACCGGTATCCTTTCATCTTTAGACTTCATCCAACTCTCTCCGGCTGTAAGTGGGTTCTTCAAGCAAGAGAAATTTCTACAAAAACCGTGCTATGAACGAAACAATAGAGCGTTGCTCTCTTAGTGGACTGTGATGGCTTCCTTCATCACTCTCTCTGGAATTTTTACCGCAGTACTAGTCAAACTAACCGGTCTGTAATTTGATGGGAGCTGCCTAGAACCTACCCCGTGGATATGTGTGACTAAGGCACCCTTCCAGTCACAGGGGAATGTGCCTTCATCGAGGAAAAGTCTAATTGCGGTAGTCGATGGGCTGGCTGCATGGAGCGCAAGCTGTCTGAGCAGCCTTCGGTGCAGCTCATCTGGTCCCGTTGTTAATTTTTCCATGTTGAGACTACTTAATATCCTGAATGCACAATTGAGATCGCTATCCACAGAGTTTATTCTGCTGGATGTCAGTGCTTCTACTGTTGGATAAATGTCCAAAGAAGATTCCCATGTGAAGACCTCGGCAAAATATCCCACCATGGCTTCTGTCTTTCCCTATCGTCCTCGATCAAACGGTCATTTTCCGTCTCATTGATTAGGGCGGTTATATCACGATACATCTTATTTCTATAGTTCATATAGGAAAATAACCTCTTCGGATGTTGCAATGGAGCTTGGGCAAGACGTGCTTCAAAGCATATTTGAGACCGGTAGATAGCAGTGAAACATTTATTGAGGGCTTCTTTGCAATGCTACACCACTTCGGGTGTACCGAGGTGGGTAGCAAGATTCTGACACTCTTTTCGACTTCGCAGCGAGATTCAGACTTCGTGGTTTATCCACGAAGGGCGGTGTTTCTGTCCCCTCAAGGCAGTCCATGGAATGAACGGTTGGGTCACTCGTGCAAAAAATGCCTGAAGGAGCACCGCGCACCTCCAACTGAGGCCTCTGAAATGACTTTCCAGTCCTCCGAAGAGGCTGCCAGGTTAACAGCTTCCATATTCGATTTCCATAAGTTGGGCCTAGCTAGGGAATCACCCCGGTACAAGACGTCCATTGTGAATCTGCAGATGCTCACAGCGTGATCACCATTGCCAAAGGTTGATAGGTGCCAGGTGAAGCATACATCATCTGTACATGAGAACAGCAAGTCTAGAACTGACAAAGCATGCGGGTGGTCACATCTGGTTGATGTCCTAACGTGCTGTATGAGGGCTAAGGGAATTGATGTTTTCACTAGCCGGTGGTCAAACAAATTACGTGGTGCCTTCGTTGTTAGTCTATCCCAGTCAACTGGTGGTGCGCTGAAGTCTCCTACAACCAGACATCGGCATTCATCCGTCCAGACGTTCAGCTTATTCAGGAGGAAGTCTGATGCCTCACAATCAGGGCTTCAATATATTACGATTACGTTAACATCTTGCCCCTTGCATTTTAGTCGTCAGCGCAGCATTTCACAAGTCCTACTTCATGTGCAGCTGTTTCTATGGCTTATACGGTTGCGTTATTCTTGACGTAAAGGATGGCAGTACCATCTTTTAGGGCAAACCTATCACTTCTAAAAGGGACGAATCCTTGTAAGCGTGTTTCATAGTCACTGATCCAACAGGCGAGCGAAGATTCTGAGATAGCAATGATGTCAGAACCTTCGTTGCTTATCACATTACTGAGCTCGGTCCACTTCTTTAAAAGGCTGCATCCGCTTGTGTACAAGACAGCGAAACCACCTAAATGAGTTTCTGTCCTGTCTATAGAGGCTTTGACATCATTTGTTGCCGAAACCTCACTACACGAAAATCCACCACTTTCGGATCTTGCTCTCCCGCTGCTACTCCGTATTTTAGCTCTGCTTCCGCTTCTCGTTCCTAGATTCGATGAGCAAGAGCCAAATCCTTTTGCACGAACACTCCAGATCCTTGAAGTCTGCGAGGATTCTTCATAATCTGATTCCTCTCATCTGCTGGCTTGACCACGACCCTAAGTAGCCGGAGCTTATTCTCAGTGATGACTGTTTCCTGTTTTCCTATTCTATATATCTTGGGTGGGGTGACTCCTGGCATGTTTCCTGGTAAACGCTTTCTTATCAAACTTCACACCTTGCCAAGGTCATGTTCGAAAAGTTTACGTGGTTCTGGGCCCCCACTTTCTTCCACTCTGTGGAAAATTACGGACCTGTCAAGGATCTCTATTTCGTCTTCGCTATGTAGGGCGATGATAGCTGGTTCGGTTATTGTTATCGGCTTCTTAGTGTGCCATCTAAGCTTAGTTACTTGCCACTCTTCAGAGTCGGGTATGCAAGGTTTACTAAAGCCTAGTCCAGTGGCCTTGATACTCAGAGCCTCAGAACTGACTTGCTTCCCATTCTGTGTGATTTTCGTCGGTGACTGGGTTACCGAACTGGGTATGACCTGCGGCCTGCGTGGTTCCGTCGTCGGAACTGAGAGCGCCTCACTCCTGCTTCTTTCATTTGAAGTAGACCCAGTCTTAGGGTCAGCAATTTTCAGACTGGGTCTGCCAGCTGTGGGAATGCGAGGTCCAGAAGATACTGGCTTCACTCCGCATAGTATGGCTTTTTCTAAGTCGCCGTCGGCAAACCTAGTAAGTAGTCTACGCACTCGGCTTACAGCTTGTCGTGGGACGTTCTTAAAATTTTGCGCAGCAATCTCTGTGTCAAGGATGCTTTGTCGTTATCACTGTCACAGCTATCGGCTTTGACTTTCGACGGTAGTTTTTTAGTTATCATATCTAGAATTGTTTTTGTTTCTTCTAGTAGAGTGCGAATATCCGGGGAGCACAATGCACAAAGCCGGGCGCTTCCTGCGTTGCCATACCTTTTATATGCTGAGGGTGTAGGGATTGTGCAGTTATCGCGGAGCCAACTCTTATATTCGCTACGCTGCATACCACAGGCCACTGTGAAAGGGCATCCGGCCCCACCACAAGCGTTTTTACGACACTTTTGGCGCACCATGAAGCAGAAACTATAGAAATTCACCCAGTGAAGGTTCCCGTCTCACTTGAATAGAACGGTATTCTGATTACAGCAAAAATGCAACAGTCTGATGTGTAAACACAAAAAATGACAACAATGTAGCTGAATGTGAAAAGTCACTCTCCTTTTCAACCACTTGTTCTCTATACCAGATCTATAGCAGATGAGTGACTGGATCTACTGCATCGGAATTCGCCGAAAACATGGAACCGTTCCGCAAGACCTAGAGGTGAGCATGAAGAAATCGACTGGTTTAAACGAGCTCGTTAAACTAACATTGAAATCACATCCTGAAGAGCCATCCTGGGTGCCTTCACCCAGAACTCTTTCTGAAACTCTAGAAGACTTACATACGGCCTCACTTAGAGGTCCATAACGTCTTCGCTCCGCCACAGCTGAAAAGAGGCGCGAACTTGCTGGAGAAAGTCCTGAGGAGAGCCACAGAAGAGGTTGTTGGAATGCAACGAAAACCATATGAGGATAGACTCGAAGACCTAGGTCTATACTCCATTAGCTATCGAAGGATACGTGGAGACTTAATAATGGCTTACAAAATAATGAGTAACCCAAGTCACCCAAACAGAGGAGTCCTACCGAGTGGCCACTACGGAGATCCTCGAGGAAACCTCAATAGAATAGCAGACTAGAGGTCAATAACGCATGCGCGTTCACAGTCCTTCTCCCTCCGAGTCTATGGGTACTGGAACGCACTGCCAGCAGAGGTGGTCTCCCCCCCCTCAACTGTTGAAAGCTTCAAGAAGAGGCTAGACAGTCATACAGAGGCTCACGGCCTACCCACGCATAGTTGGAACACGGAGTGATGTCAAGCCGCCCCAACCAGTTTTCTTTCTGTTGTAGCCATTTAAGCCCTTTTCACCCCTTCCACTTGCCATAAGTCAGCCTCACTTACCTAAGTTCTTCATACCTTTGCACCCCTACTCACCTTACTTGGGTGTAAGTAGATTACTCCATTAGTTCACTTTTCCTCTCTTCTTTTACTCACACAAACACTTTCTAGGTTTTCTCTTCACTATCCCCAACCCTCTCTAGCGACCAGTCCTAACAGCTGTCTGGCAACTCGATATCTGAAGAAGCCAACTGCACCACAGTCCAAGGCAAACAAACCAACACTTAACTTCCTGTTCTGTAAATCAGAGCTATAGCAGACGAGTGGCTGGACCTACTGCATCGGAATCCGCCAAAGATCTGGAGCCGTTCGGCAAGACCAAGAAGCGAGCGCGAAGAAATCAAATGGTTTACACAAGCTCGTTAAAAAGATATTGGATATTGAATCCATGGATGAAAAGGGAAATCACAAATGCAAAGAAGAAGTGGAACCAAACAAAAAGACTTGATCTAATAATTAGGTGCAAAAGTTTGGAGCTCTGAGTTTCCTATCGTTGCTGGGAATATGTAGTATTTTGGATTTTGAAACCTTGCATATGATTCTGCGTAGCTTAACAAGTTGCGCCACCGTGATCTAATCTTATTAGATTTATAGTACACTGACACTTGGCTTGGCATTATATCAAGCCTTCGTTTGGTTTGGTATAGATTTATCTGTACAACGTTCTCCGGAAATGTGTGAAATCTATATATATCACGGATCTAAATAGTAACTCAACCCCCCTTAGTAGTAGAATGGTTGAGGTGAAAGAGATAAACGTATATCTTCTGTTTTTGTACTATTTTTCCTATAGGAATTTAGGTCTTCTTTGTTCAAAGGTGATGGGGATGCACTTGATATTCGTAGACTATTGACATTCCTCCTTGGACTCGTATGTTTATTAATCAAGTGGATTAATGAGTTATTAGAAACCCTCTCTCTTGAAGCTGGATTTCGGCTGGCATATTATTTCTTATTTCTGCAAAGATGGGCAAGATATTGATGTAATGGGATTGAATTCACTGATTCTCAACGGTGAGCACACGATTTGTAGTCTAATCCTATTGATAGACACTCCTACGTTTTTGTCTTCGATGGATTTTAAAAAATGCGACATGAAAGGTTGTGTTAGTCCTTTATAACCTTATGAAATATTTAGGAATTGTCGTGGACCAACTCAAACTGATTTGTTTGTTTGGTATGCTTGAATATCTTCTGCGGAATGATGTGAAGTATAACTATGTGCGCATCAGTGAATTCATTAGTCCTTTCATAATTGATCACCTCAAAACCTATTCATCCGACGTTTTAATACAAACTATCGCTTTAGCAAAGTTGTGGTGGACATTCGTCTGTCAGAAAGTCTTTAAAGAGGTAAGTGTTGTAAGTAAGGGATTCATTTTACCATGTTTTTTTGCGGCTCAGATCTATTGGAGTAGTCAGATTGTATTAGGATTAATGTGTAAGTGAACTAACACGTGAGACATTTGGATGGAATTCGAGGTAGTGATGATTCAGTAAAACTGTTGGGTACCACTTCTCCGTTTGAAGACATCACATAGCTGATGCTCTTCATTTTTGAGTTTTGTTTTCTAATTGGTGATCAACCTGCAAATAATTTCTCCGGAAGTAAGTCCCTATTCGAGATGAAGCGTCTTAAGGGTGTTCTTTGTGATAATTGTACATTTTATAAACTTCTGCAGGCATTTGCGTTGCGCTTTTTCCATTCTCTGGCTCTTCGTACTTCCACCTTATCTGTTGCTTTCGTAGGCTTGGATGGTATATTCTGATAGGTCTAAAATCGGTATTACGTCTGATTGTCGACATTTTTTCCGAGTTTACAAACTTTCGTATCTAAAAGTGTGTAACCTTGTCTGTGAAATGCTTCATCTCAGTAAGGAATAGATGCAGCTGAGTAGTTGTAAGCACGCGTGTCTACTGGGCTGTGAGCCGCATTTATTATGCTTAGTCTTTTTTTCCTTTAAATAAGAAGTGTGATTACCGCCTGATGAAGGTTTCCAGGCTGCAGTCTGCAACCTAGCTGAAATTGATATTAAAAAAATTAGGTGAGACGGCTCAGAATCGATCGCAGTGACACAGATGCATGTATACCTTGCTTTCATATCAACTATATCACATTTCGAGAGCATTTTCTTCGTTATTTGCTTTATAGCCTCCTTTCATCCCATGGCTTCTGTTTTTCATTTTCGTTTCCGTTGTACCATTTTATACCAACTAGTGCGTCCTGATTTTCATCATTCTTCATGCTAGTATGTCTTCGTGTCATATTGGTTTTGTAGCGTAATATATCCTTTCCATAATCTAGGATTTTATAAGAAGGATTTACGCTTTAGCACTACAGGATTTTCGTGAGGGAATATTAGCACCAGACATTCACTTGGTTTTAGGATGAAACAATATAGTTCGGTCATGTTCAAACTATTTAAGACTCACTAAGTACTGCAAGAAACCCCCACTTAAGAGAATTAACAGAAATCTAATTGCATATGAGGAACGCAGAAGTTTTCATGAGAAAACTTCGGCACTCACATAACGCCATGCTTTTGATTAACGAAGACTTGGTGGTGGTATTTTGTGCTGCTTTTTTGTTTGTTTTAAGAGTAAACGAAGATATACTCATTAAATTTGTGAGTTTGTGTTTCCTATTGATTGAAAGACGGTTGGTCTTACTGTTATTTATCTAGAATTTCGATGCCTCTATAATGAGATGTGCAAAAATAGTCTGCAGATGCGTTTGGCTACATGCTGGGTCAACAAATGGAGTTGTACAGAAATCTGTCCTTGGGTTCTTCGAGCATGTACTTTGTACATTTTTGACATTGAAAAAGAAAGATTTTTCATTTTTGTACAATTTTAGCGTTCTTATCAATAGCGTGACTACATGTCACTCAATGAATCCAGCAAACCACTACAAATTGCAGAAAAATTCGCTTCACTGTTTGATTCCTGTTTTGAAGTGCTTGGGAACCGCTAAAGTAAGTCAGATTTATCAGTTTATCTGTGTAAACTCAGATGCTTATCTACTGGGTTCAGAAAATCTTTTGGATGTAATCCTACTATGAGATTCGTCGTTTGTGGTATTGTTGAGTCCTCTATTTAATTCACTTATTGTAATTCTTATTTAAGATCTCCATGATAGGAAAGTATACTAAAAAGAGGATTTTAAAATATAGCATGTAACTTGTTTATATTTAGCCCAGTTTTTTTCTGGCTCGGCAACTCGAAGTCTAGCGAAGTTGTTTTTCTAACCTTTTAAAAGAGCTTTCACTGTAGGTGCTACATTGTTATGGTAGTCGATCTTACCAGTTCGAATATTCCAGTCTAGTTGGTTGGGGTACTTTTCAGTTGAAGACACCATTCCAGTAAGGTCGGTGATACCGAACGTAACTAGTCTCAGGCTCCAAATCAAAGGTGTAATACTGGCTCAACTGTAATGGGAACAGTTAAGTATTTTGCAGCGATAACCAGTGGGTATAGACTATCATCATAGGATTTTGCATTACCGCGTAACGATTTAAGTTACAAGCATGTCCAGCGACAGTACTTTCCCATCTTTAAAGGGAGCTTTATAAAATTGATTCTAAAAGTAACTTATATTCCGTCCAGCACATTGTCATTGAACCACTGAGTCGACATCCAATGATCCATATTTCTTACCTCTTTTAGTTCAAGAATGACCAAATTGGACGTTAGGACAGATATTCAGCGACATCATTTTATGGAGGTTGCACTATATCGTAAACTGAGAGAAGTAGGAAATGTAGACTGATGGATCCCAGTCCAGTGGGTCAATGGTAACGTGCTGGCCGCGAAACCTGAAGGTCCTGCTTTCGATCCCCGTGAAGACCATGAGTGCTCACTGCTGAGAAGTCCCATACTGGCACGAAACAGCTGTTCAGTGCTCCCAAGTTCCGAGTAGTTCTCCAACTGATATAATTCTATTGGCTAGACTCCGTCGTAACCCTCTTTTTACACAGAGAATGCACTGAGTTGTAATCCAGAGAGCTTCCTTTGTGCGTAGATTTCCTATAGATCGTGGTTCTTTGCACTTAACAACCTAACTTTACTATTTTCTCAGCTAATTCTATTTTCGTAGTTAACCTAATCGAGACTGCATGACTTTATATGTGCATGGGGACTTTTAGTATCTTTCTTTATTATGATCAGCATATCATCGACATGTCTCCACCAACTTTTGATTGAGGATGTGTATGATTTTAGGGCGTTGAAGGGAAAAAAATCAATAGGATGTTCGAATCCAGAAAAGCCTGGAAATAGCGTAGACCACTGTAAACATAATTCCATTTTATTTGATTTACTACATGCATTACACGGTAAAACGGTATTGTTTATTGGATTACGTTTCGGACATAATTTATTGTCCATAGTCATATCAAGATAACTACCGTTTCCTTGCCTTCTCTGTGATATGGGTAGTAGGATTTTCCATATATCCGGAACTGGTGCTGAGTTACTCCTGTTGCATGTACTGGGTATTTATTCGATGAAGAAAGATTCACTCCATTCTGCTGTGTTAGTTTTTAGGGTTTTCACCTTGTCCCATCCTATTGTATGGTTGTGTGTAATCTCATGGGTAGCTATGGCCGAGCTTTTTTCTAAATTCTTACTAGGATCTACCAATTCTGACTTAGCTAATTTTTTGTGCTTGTATAGCATAATGGGATCAATAGGATCTTTTAACCTACGAAGCTTATTCCTAAGTGAGCTTATACAGAACACAAATTGAAGTCGTTTTTATAAAACGGTTGGCTTCAACCGGTTCGAAGCAGAAATCTCTGATGCTGCACAAAACTATGTACTTCACTGGATAACCAATAATGATTCAATTTATTTGAGGTGTTGGGAAGCCATACTTCGTGAACTCTGTATGTCCCCTTTCTGATATCTTGCACAATATCCACTTTTTGTGTAAGACGTTTTTGATCAGTCTTGACCTCATGTTTAAGTTTTGAGGACGTTCGGTCAAAGGTAACGTTTTTCAGTAACGCCTAGATATGTTTCCGAATTGTCGAAAATTGGTCTATCTTAGTGTAATACAGGAGCTTCGTACTAATATGGATTAGGAATACAGTGTTCAGTCTTAGTCATCATGCTGCTTTCTGCCGAAATTCCACTTTGACGGCCGGCTGTTTGGCGAATCAAATTTCAGATCTTGTTGGATCTGAACAATGGTCACTGAGTAGTACTTCTGAAAGTAGTATGATGAAGTGTAACATATTTTATGCCCCACTTCTTTGTATAAATGGGAAATAGCTGTTTTCCTCATTTTCCTTACCTTCAAGGTTTCAAGCTATGTATCGTTTTTAGTATGGAGTCTATTACTGGCCACTGATGACAATTGTACGTTGAATTCGGCTTGTGATGTCATAATAATGATTATTGATGAACAGAGGTTAGTTTCAAAAGAGATATATTGAAAGCTCTTTATTATGAGAAGTTATTTGCAGCCCATTTGTTTTATTACTCGAAGAAAATATTTTCAGTAATTCTGGTCTCCTCATGCTTATTTGGTTTCGTATTTATTTTTAGGGGCTATAAATGCATAATAAATTTTTATACATATTTTTTTTGAAATCATTTCCTTAAACCTATTTGAATTTCAAACCTGCGAATAGGCCATGTGTGACCAACCTCGAGTAGATGTCCCTTGGGCTCTGTAGTTAAACACCATCCCTTCTTTTTCAAGTTCCTCAAGAAGAACTAGCCTTCCACGGTGTGGCAACCCTCACGCTTCCAGTAGTACGCAAGATCTAATCAAGCATAACCGATCCTCCTTAACTCATAATACTATTATTAAGCCCCTTACACCTTCTCCAATCTCTTCCACGACATTGCGAACGATCGAAACCTCATCCCTAGTCGCCTAATACACCACCATCGATTTCATGTAGGAGCTTTCAGCGTGCGAACTCTATGCCAAATCGGACAGCAATCATCACTGACCAAAACTCTGAAATTTCGAACCATGGATGTATGCTGTGTTTCTGCGACACGTATCTGGGGACCCAATCGGTAGCTCTCGTGGACTCACTGGTGTAGACATACGATCGAACTGTAGGTCAGAGGATGGGCTTGTCCTCGAGATACCAGTCAACAGACGTTTATGTGCCGTTCGACTGAATAGATCTGTCAGAACTAGGAAAGGTTGTGAGCCTAAGCGATTCCCGGATATATGTTGTGCATGCTGAGTCACCGCGTACCTCGACATGCCCTGTTAGGGGAAGCTGTGTTAGTTAGGCAGAAGGTTCTTGGTGACCAAAACGTGGCACCAGTCCATGAAGTCCTTGACTTTGTTTAAGCAATGTGGGCAAATGTAAACTACTTGGCTCGGTCCTGTCTGGGTCTTTGTTCCTGTCGTCAATATTTGGAAGTTTTCGTCTTGTGGTGTGAATTTTTATACATTTATGAGGTAAAAAGGTATTTGGTGTCATCAAATGCGTGTACGTGGCCCTACGATTTGTTGCATAGTTTTGTCGTCCAGACACTAATTATCACCAATTAACGTTAATTTCTACGTACACTTTCCTTTTAAAGCTAAATATTTTCTTTAGGTTTCGCATGTTGTCTGTAGTACACAGCTCATTTCACGACATTTTATTTAGCTACTGAGTTAGACTTATTAATGATTGATGGCTGATGGTATTTCTCTTGCTGTGATTTGCATACCAAACGTTTTGTATGGTATGTAGTAAAACAGGATCGCAGCAACCAAGCTTGGGCTGTTGTACTAGACTCAGCTACATCTTTTATGCGGGAACCAGTAGTAATACTACCTTATTACTTAGACGTCAAGTCGTGGAGATGTGACTCATTGGTTTAGCTGGATGACTTTCAACTGATCGGTCACGATTTCCAGCCCCGTCCCACCTATCGAGGTTTGGGCAACCAGATAGTATCATACAATAGGTGTGAATCATTGCCTACTGCACGAACGTGCACTAAGTTGATAAGTGTATTTTAAATTCAAAATTCAGATGTTAAATCGGAGGCCAGGAAACTGGAGCTTTACTTTGCATAAGTACATACTAGTGATCACTAATCTACCTTTTATCCCTCTTTTGCCTGACTGTCCTGTGCATAAAAGCATTTGTCTTTATTATCATGAATGGTGTTAAACTAGTAGGTTATTAAAATAATTCTTACAATAGCCCATTACCTGTTTATACTTCTTTCTTTTTTGTTTTTGAACTGAATAGTAATTCTATCAAGGAAAACGGTGCGGAAAACGATTACTATTGTGTATTAAGTCCTATAATTAGATTTTTGCTAACTGGAAATGTGGACTGTCCTATGTCATATGTTCCTGGTGGCTGTTGTTCTATCAAAGCTACTAAATTATTTCAGGTACCAATGTGTTGTATTATTTGGTTCGTGGTATGAATTCACAATATATAAATTGTGTATTTATATTTTTAATGCATAAACACCATAAAGTGTTTGACACGTACATTAATTATCTTCTAACTAATGAATTACGTATTCAAACCTAACCCCACCTACAGATTAGTGTAGTATCATTAGCTGTCACAATCGGTACTCGTCCAGTTTGTAATGCGACCACAAAGCCGACTGACTTAACACTAAGATTTACTGTGTGCTTTAAATGTTAGTTGTTTCTCATGAAGCTATATTAGCCTACTGGTAGTCTCTGACGGTCTGATAAGTTCGAACAAGTGTGAAGGCTAGTTTAATCAAGTCTTCTTATAGACTTTCTCTTAGGTTCTGACGTAGTATCATACTAGCTCATGTTAAAAAGTTTTAAGCAAAGTAGGTAGGAAAAGTTAACGTAAGAAGTAAAATAACTGAAGGAAGCATGGAAAAGGATTTATGGTGAATGAGAATCGAAGTTTATGTGTTATTTATAGAGCTTAGTGGATGACATTTTGTATTTGTTTATCTGCTCATTGTTTCTACGTAGACAGAAATGCAACGAGTTTAACTTGTCATATACTAAATGAAAACAAACTCGGTTTCCCCATCTTTCAAACTTGAAAATATGCATATAAAAGACTAGAGTAAGATTCATCACGATCATCTTTTGCGTAAAACCTCAGAAATTTGCCTACACACACGTGTACTAAAGATTAAACGTTAAGGGCATTTAATATGCGTGCTTTTTTCGGTATTAGACAATAAGACATTTCATGATATGAAAAATATTCTACCTGGTGAATTTGAGGTGGGTTCACATAGTTTGTCGACATTTCTTTATCTATAGAAGTGTAAAAATTGGTTGCACAAATATCCATTTAGATAAAGTATACTAGTCAGAAATATGTAGGATTTTACATACCGTCATCATCTTTGATATTGATCAACCCTTGATGAATTTTGAATTTAGTTTGATGTTGATCCAGCTGAATCATCACAATCGCAAATGGTAGTCAATATAACTATTTCAAGTTAAGGGTGGTTGGTGACTGTCTGTGTTTTTGGGTCATCAGCTTTATTCAGTGGATATACCTCCATCTATATCCAACCCTAACGAGTGAGGAATTTCATTAGGTTATTCAGCCAGTAATGGTCTTATTACATTCTGCTTATGTTACCTTTGACTGCTGTTCGGTGTACAGATTTAAACACTGTGGTTACTTAAAAGAAGTAGAGAGATGATCACTTCTTGATATATTACTGTTACATAAATTTTACTCATGTTAAGCTAGCTTCTGCTAGTGCACCTCACTACCTTGTGTTTTTCTTAAAGACCACACTATCTAGGCGATTTAAAATGTCACTGAACATCATAAAAAGCAATGAAAATAATCAGTGTACCTTTTGTCATTTGTTTAAAAAGTTATAGGAATCATAAAATATGGTACTAAAAAGTTGTAAAGACTTTCTTGATCACTTCATGTTTTCCTTTTCCTTATTCGCTATAGATTCATAACATTGCTGTGTTATTTTGTGCAACGCATGTTTTGATTTTCTAGTTATTTTAAGTTTGTATTTTACATGGATATCAGCAGTTATAATGGGTGCTATTGCTTGGCATCAATTAGCGGTGATTCATTACTAATTTATCTCTTTTTAAACTTGTTTTACAGGGTGCGAACTGGGACAGTTTTGTTCATAGGTGTTTGACTGCTAACTTCGCTTTGCTACCTAGCCAAAAAACAGTTAATAACATTTGAAGCTACCGAATGGGGAGGTTTTAGAACAATGCGAAAGTGATCTTTTAGTTGATCAACTACTTGGATATCTTTCTTCTGTTTTTCTCAATTCAAAATCTGATGAATCACAGGATTTGATTGAATGGAAAATGTTTATTTGGTTGAAGCTTTATTCTCTGAGGGATTATTTTGACCTACCGTCTTCTTTGAAGCAGCTAGTAAGTGTTGTATACTTTCGTAGTTTACGCGCATCCTTTTTTTCCTTCGGTTCGTGTTAGCTTTCAGTGTTAAAAAGTCATAAGACGAGACATAACTTCAAAGTAATCATGATGGATAATAAATACACTCTAGCATTTAGAAATTTGTTTCGATTGTGGTGTAAATGAGTATATAATCATAAGGTTGGTGAGCTTAGACCATTTAGCAACAGTTCTACTTCGATGCACCTATCCTAATCAGTTTATTTTATCAAAATATGACCAATAGGGTAAAGCTTAAACCTGATAGATGTCTTTCACGGTGATTTTGAACTTAATCAAGTGAGTATGAGGTCACAAGTTGTCCTTCAGAATTATGGGCGCATATAAAAATATCAGTCATCATTTCAAACAGAATGAGCAGTAGGATTTTGACCGGATTTAAATACTGCTAGTAGATGTAAAAAGTATCGATAAAGTGAGCAGTTGAACATAAGGGACTAACTTGATTCAATATTTAGTCTTTTTCCAGTTAGTAAACTCTGAAACAGTACGACAAAAGGAAACTGACAAGATAGAAACTGGGTTGTAGAGTGGAAGAAAACAAAGGAGAAAAAGTGACAAATGTAAGAAAACTAAAATAGCAAATACGCAAAGCAAGGTAGTAAACTCTTCAATCAGTACACTTGCTATTTGCTAACCACATCAACTAACACTCTATAAGCTATTCGTTTATGCATACTATCCCAGTTTTTGTGTAATCATATTTAGTAAGTGAATGAGATGTTTTCTGTGCATCACTGAAAAAAGAATTCATTAAATTACCTGTGTTTCAGGTTCCTGTTATTTTAACTAAGAGCGCCGTGCATCACAATGAAAATATACGTGTATTATCGCTGAATGGGATTTCTAAATTTTTATGCAAACTGATGCGTACAAAAAGTGAAGACAGTATTATTGATGAGAGATCCACCCATGTCTTACCTCTTGATTCACAAATTCCACTAATCCTTATGGATTTATTTCTGAATTGTTATAGCACATTCAACACCTGTTCAAATCCAGCTCATCGTAAACAGATTCAACAAATTTTCATTAGTCTTTCGGAGTCTATACGAAGGATGTGTAAATCTGTGCATTTGAATAGTGCAGAAGTATCGGTAATACTAGACAAAAATAATTTTAAGGATGATAATCATGACAGTGATATGTTATTTTGTCTACCGGATACTGAAATCAGTTTACAAGTTCTTCAGCATTTTTCTGATTGTGATACAATGGAGAGTGGAGATTTCGCATGTCATCCACCCAGTGCAGCGATGGTACTCTATTTGGGTAAGTTTTTATATATAAACTTCTGACGAAAATTAAGTACTGAGGTTGTATTAGTGATAGTAACACTAATAAATTTAACATGTTTGTTAAACAAATTATTTTGCTGAATAATGACAGGCCACATGCAGTTCACTGTATTCATTGGGTTATCCAAACAAGACCTATAAACAAAATGTCCCGTTAAGTGTAGTTTAGATAGAAGCATTTATTTGCTGTGACTGTAACTTGCGTCCAGATGGAGAGTACTGTGTTGGCGTTTAGTTAACTGACCACTAAATTAGGTGGGCGAGCTCAGTAATTGAGCTCACTGCGTGATACGGTTGATTCAGTGTGAACAAAAGGTGACTATCTACAAAGTCCAACTCAATGAATATCAAACGAACCAAGCTACTCGTCAACTGACTGCATGAATATGTGCATAAACAGTAATCCAGAAAGAAACCCCTTAAAATAAGGTAGCCATTCATATATTAGGTCTGTGTCTACGGTAACATAATCTACACTATATATCAAACGGCTGATAGTAAATTTATAATAACAGAAATGTCAGTAAGTAACTATTAAGTTTTTATGAATGGGTGTAAGTTTGCTTTTTTATCCGTCATGAAGCTGTATGCGATGTTTGTTATAAAAATTTATGTAGTACATTTCTATGGCTGCCTCTGACATTTATTAGTTGGAATGGATTTACTATGTATGTTGGCGTGACTTACTTAAACTATACTTTTAGTAAAAGTGTTCAACAATTAGGATAAAGTAGAGACTAAAAACGTCAGAAATATGACTGTTGTACTAAAGATGATTAGCTAAAATGAAAACCTGGTTTACTCCACTGGTCACAACTTTTCATTGGAACTTCGGGAATCAGCTCTCAAAGTTAGTCATCAACGAGCGCTAGATTAACTCTATGTGGAGGTTTGTGGGAACTTACCACTTGATTTCAGGTTGGAATTCATCATGGAGTTACATCAATTATTATTTATTATATTATTATTAGTCCCTTGGGTTCCTAGTGGAACATAGGGCTTCGGTAGCACGCCTCCAGTGACCTCTGTTCTCCGAGATCTTTTGAACCTGGTTCCACGACAGCCCAGAAGCTCTCATTTCCTCCTCGCATGACCTCCTCCATGTCACCCTCGGACGTCCAACTCGTCGCTTCCCATGGGGATTCCACTCGAGCAACTGGCCTGACGCGTGATGTCCTCAGTCGGCCTTCTCAGTGCATGCCCAATCCATCTCCACTTCTTCCTGCATATTTGTTGCGTGATAGGTTCTTGGTTGGTTCGTTCCCAGAGTTCCTTGTTGCTTATTTTTTCTGGCCATCTGATCTTCAGCAGCGAGCGCAAGCAGTTGTTGATGAATGTCTGTAGTTTATTGGAAATGCCTTTCGTGACGCGCCAAGTCTCTGAGCCATACAAGAGCACTGACTTGACGTTGGTGTTGAAAATCCGTATCTTGTTCCGCATGCTGAGTGCAGGAGATCTCCACACTGGTTTCAGGCTAATGAACGCCTGTCTTGCTTTTCCGATTCTGACTTTGACGTCCTCGTCCGTCAGTGCTTTGAAGTTTCTTTAGCGGTTAGATTTGTTTTACGGGGTAGGGTTGCTAGCCCTATGCCCAACCTTCCCTCTTTACCCGGGCTTAGGACCGGCTAGTAACTAGTAAACTAGTTAACCAGGCGAGGTTAGTTACATCAATTAGACGAACATTATGGGACTCCTCGGCAGTGCGGAGCCATGACTGTGCCAGGGATCGAACGCAGGACCTTCAATTTCTGTGGACAGCACGTTACCACTAAACCACTGGGTTGGAATTGAGTGGTCCATATTTTTTACTCCTATCAGTTCACGACATAGCGCGACTTACATTCAGTGTTGTCGTTGAGTAACTGTCCTCGTGTTCGGTTTGGTTGACTCCACCGATCACGACGTCCCATCGGAACTTCGGGAATAACCTCTCGAAGCTAGTCACCAATGTGTGCTAGATTAAAAATAAAGACCACCACCCATCATCGTCTTTCAAATGTTTTATATAATTCAAAAAAAATTACTGCAGCGCATTTCAAAATGAGACAACTGGGAATTCAAAATTGGGAAAACTACCACTGGCGATTCGTTGTTCAAGTCACCGAGAAACTACGAAAGGTTAGGGAAAAAAAGTCCAGACATGTGTTTCAGTTGATCAACTGGATGATACTCACTGTCACTCTATACTTAGGTGTTTATAGAACGTCTAGATGTAGCCTTAGAGATACACTACTGAGGAGGATGCAGTTTCCATAGCAGTGTAATGCATTCAAATTTTCGATAAGTTAAGGTTGTTTGTGAAAGATAAGATATCTCTATCAAATTGGTGTAAGGTTTGTCTTGACTGAATGGAATATACTGCAACTTCGATGCTGGTTCCTTTACTAGCTATGCAGACAAGTGTTACTGCCGACTCCGTGTTCATAATTGTTTTGCAAAGGATTATTATGAGCTATTAAAGGAGTTATTCCCCTTTAAAATGTTAGGCATACGATTCAGACAGCTTGGTGTTCAGTCTCTTTAGTTTTGACAATCTCATATGGAGTCATATGTTTGGAATATGCACCTATCAAGGTGCAGCCATCCTGGTAGTAACATGATGCTTTACGTAACAGTTGTTATTCATAGCTTAGCGCATAAGCTTTCACATCGTTGACGAGTTAGACTAATAAGTGTATGAAGTGCTTACAATACGACCTCCAAAATCTGGAATTTATGACTTTTCATCACGTAGTTGTAGGTAACTATCTGTCACCACAACTAACTGAATAAACTGATGTGGAAATTAACGCAGCAGTGTCATGAAGCAAGCTGATTTCTCTCCACTTTTTTTTGTACTAACGCATAGTACTTAAACTGATGCGCTTCTGTTTGCTCACACATAGGTGAAAACAATTAGATGCAGCCTTAGCAGAAAAAAATCGAAATGCACTCACATTTCTGTAGTAGGCAATGAGTCACACCTAATAGTTAAGAGTTGGTAATACTTCCTGACTGCCCAAACCTCAGTAGGTGGAGCGGGGTTGGAACTCGTGACTAATTGGTTGAAAGTCATCTGCTTAAACCAGTGAGCCACAGTCTTAGCAGATGTACAAATATACAGCTAAAATTGTTTTTCTCCTGATTTTTTGTTGAAAATTTCCCAGCTAAATTGATACAGTTTATCAGCTCAGTTTGCCGCTCTACTATGATCCACGCAAGAGCAAGTGGTCAAACGACTAGTCAGAGAATATATACAAATATCAACACTTACTTTTGGCCAGGGATAAGTTATCAACGAGCAAAACTTCTGTTGGATATCATTGAATCTGCTCTAGGTGTTCTTGATTTAGCACCAACTGGCCCGTGGAACAAGAAATGCAGCAAATGGAGAGCAGAATTCGGAAAAGGTAAATTGATCGCAAAAGTATTCACTACATGTTCTACTTAGCCATTATCGTTAGTCGTGAAGTATGAAAGCTTTCAATTAAAATAAGGAAAGAGATTTTCCGCAATTACTATAAATTTGGTATTCGTGTTTGGAGTCTTTTGATGTAGGTGCATCAAAAGCGATCGGACACTTCTGGAAGTATGAAGGTAATTGACATCTCCTGGCTGCCCATACCGTTAATGTTAACTTTCTGATGTAATCGCAAGAAAGCGTAAAGACTGTTTGTCTGAGGTCAAACACATACGGTCTTTTCGATGTTGCCTTTGTTTTCATAGACTTTTTATGGTCAGGCTTGCTTATCGTAATGATCCAACGAGCTATGCTGACTGAAACAATTTTTTTGTTTACAGTATTTTATCATGTCGGAAAGATCTGTCGTATAGTGGTCAAGTTAAAAGCAGTTACGATTATCGTGTAAACAGCTTATGGCTATAGTGTGGGTCAGAGGGTGAAGTCATACTTCTGGTCGTACCTTATCTAATAACAGTAAGCTGTTTCTCATGGATGAGTAGCTAACGCTACCTGCTTTGTGTAGTGAGATGGCTCATTGGTCTAGGCACTTGATTTACAACCGATGGGTCACGCGTTTGAACCCAACCCCACCTGACTAGGTTTAGGCAGCCGGGTATTATCACTAGCTCTTACAAGATAGGTATGGCTTATTGCTTACTTCACGAACTTGCGCAAATTTGCTGAGTGCTTTATGAAGTTCTATGGTTTTCGAAAACAGTACTAAAGTGTAGTTGTCAACTTGAGCTCAACTGAATGTGGTGCATCTGCAAAATTTACTTAGCGGATGTTTGAACGTTGGATGGCTAGTTCCTATGGAATCACTGGCGTATTGTTATCATTATTACCAAAGCGCAAACTTGTTACATCATGGTCACCAAAAAATGCGTATACAAAATAGTAGAGTGACAATATGAAGACAAATGAAGCTGAAGAGATAATGCACATAAAAACGAAAGTGGCTTATTGAAAAGGAGTCTCAAGTGTATACTAAAAGAAGCATTCACTACTTTCGTTTTGCTTTTCGAAATTAGGAGAAACAATAAAACTGCAGTATGATCACCAATGCTTTCGATTTTGAGTCATGTTTGTTATCATCTCAAGCCACTGACTTGCCTTATCTCTCGGATCCTATCCAGGAAGTCATGAAGCATCTACATATGCTAACACAAGTAGCCCTCATTCTATGGTACCTCGTCATATACTGACCACCTCTCCGCTTCATACCGTTCGTGGGGCAAGTGAACAGTGGACGGTGTGAGAGCCTTCCAATATAATGAAGCCGGTGTTGAAAGATAATCATACTCATTAAATGATGATCCCTATGGCTCCCTAACACTCTGAATCACCTCATAATTACTTATATGGTGTTCCCACTGAATATGAGAGATCCAATAAGGAAAACGGTGGCTAAACACAGTCTTCGAGCATCCTCAGCTCAAAGAGCTCAGGTTTCACAGGTGTAGAGCAGAACTGCCGGCTCCAAAACGTAGGAAAGGCAACATCAACATGGTACCAAAGGTGCCTGACATTGGTATATGCCACCCTGGCGTTCGATATATAGTTGTTGTTATTTGTCCTTTGGGTTCCTAATGGAATATAGGGCTTCAGTAGCACGTCTCCAATGCACATTGTTCTCTGAAATCTTTTCAACCTCGCTCCACGACAGCCCAGAAGCTCTCATTTCCTGCCCACACCATCTCAATGTCACCCTCAGCTGGGACGCCCAACTCGTCACTTCCCATCTCGGTTCCACTCGAGCAACTGGCCTGACGCGTGATGTCCCCAGTCGGTCTTCTCAGTGTATGCCTAATCCATCTCCACTTCCTTCGGCATATTTGTTCAGCGATAGGTTCTTGGTTGGTTCGTTACCAGCCAGAGCTCCTTGTTGCTTATTCTTTCTGACCATCTGAGCTTCAGTAACGAGACAGCGTAGGCAGTTGTTGATGAATATCTGTAGTTTGTTGGAAGTGTCTTTCGTAACGCGCCAAGTTTCTGAACCATACAGGAGCACTGACTTGACGTTGGTGTTATTCTACATGCTGAGAGGAGTGCAGATCTCCACACTGGTTTCAGGTTAATACAGGAAAGCCTGTCTTGTTGTCTTTCCGATCCTGGCTGCTTTGATATCCTCATCTGTGTTTATGCCGCCGCCTGTAGTTGAAACGATGCTGTCCAGTCGGGTAAGTGAAAGAGACTACTTCCTTTAGGCTTCTCCCGTTGATGGTGATTGGAGCTTGTTGTTGCTGTTGTTGTTGGCTGGGTATCTTCATCACCTCTGTTTTCTCTACGTTCACTTGAAGTTCCATCTTCGCTGCCCTGCCTCACCTCTTCTGTCAACTTGTTAGTTTTCGCCTGTAGATCTTCAAGTTTGTGCGACATCAGACACAAATCATCGGTGAAATCCAAGTCTTCTAGGATCTTTTCCCCGATCCAGCGTATCCCCTCTTCTCGCTCCTCACTGTTTGTTGCATGATCCAGTCCACTACAATCAGGAATATCATGGGTGATAGTAGGAATACTTGTTTCACTCCTGTCTTCACTTTAAGTGCAAAAGCATCACTGAGCTTCCCATTGTGAATTACTTGGCATGTGGCGTCTTCATATAGTTATTGAATGAGGTTGATAAAGATTCGTGGCACTAAAAACGTAGTGTAGAAGCAGTTTCCAAATGACTTCTCGGTCGACGCTGTCGAAGGCCTTTTCAAAGTCGATGAAGTTGAGGTAGAGCTCCAGTTGACTGCCATTCTATACTCTGTTCTAAGATGATGCGTAGCACAGTGTTGAGATTTGATCCACGCATGATTTGTACTTCCTGAATCCAGCCTGTTCCGGTCGTAGTTTTGAATTCAGAGCATTGTTTAGTCTCTCCAGGATGATGCGGCTTAATATTTTGGTTGGGGTGGACAGGAGCGTGATTCCGCGACAGTTCTTGCAAACACTTAGGTCTCCCTTCTTCGAGAGTTTGACAAGGTAGCCCTTCTTCTTCCGATCAATCTACAGGTATCTTTCCTTCCTTCTAGACCTTCTATAGTAGTGATGTGGTGTGAGCATGTCCGCTGCTGTCTCTGCGTCTGTTCTCAGTGCTTCTGGTGGAATTCCATCTGGTCCTGCTGCTTTCCCGCATTTCAGTAGCTTTATGGCGTTCAGGACTTCTGCTTTTTTCGGAGGGCTTGTGTCCACAGGTGATTCTGTGTCTGGGCTGCTGGTGGTATTTCTGGACGAAGTGCAGGCTGTGGTAGATTGAAGAGCTTTTTGAAGTGGTCAGCACATCGTTTCCTTTGTTTCTCTTGTTTGGTAATTAGATTTCCTTCATCGTCTTTTATTGGTTACATCTGCGTTGATCACTTCCCTCCCAGATAGGAACCTGGTTATTTGATACAATCTTGTCAGGTCTCACCTACCAGCAGCCTGCCCTGCTTCACTTGCCAGTGTTTCGCAGAAGTGTCTTTTGTCTTTCCGTGCACTCTTCTTCACCTAACTGTCCAGTGTTTTATACATTGTACTCAGTTCGTCTTTTCGTCGTTTATCCCTGCACTGCACTGGTTCATCTTCTACTTCACCATATTCCTCTCCCTGCTTGCTCTATTACCTTCCATGTGTCCGTCGAGATCCATTCTTTGTCTTCTTCTTCCTTCCTAATACGGTTATATATACAGTTATGTCTCATTAATTACACTTATCGATCATCCACACAACTACCCAGGAACAAGCTTTTCAATAACTTCCAGAGACTCAACACCTAGGGTTAGTGCAAACACAGACTCCTGCAACTCTTACAAAAGCATTTCGCGCTTCGGTGGCCCTAAACTCATACCGTAATTACGGACAGTAACCACCAGACATTTAGATGCAGCAAAAAGAAGTATTTCGTTTGCGTACACCAATTTAGTCAGGTACAATCCAGCGAGTATGTTAATACCTAAGAAGTCATAAGTACCTAAAGTCATGCTCATTAATGCACCTATAATGAAGTAGAACAGGAACAGGAACAGCAGAAATCTCTAGTGGACACTAGTGATAATCGTCAATTCAAATGACAATTCTCCATAAACACTTACGTGGTCGCGTGAGTTCTATTAGGGAGCTTTGATAAGCACTATATACTTGCTTGGAAATCTCTTCACAGTCAGATACTGCCAAAACACCTTTTGGTCAACAGAGTCGACAATGGATACAGGGAAGTCATACCGTTATGTCATCATCGCACAGGATGTGTGGAGGATCACCACTCTGTGAAGTTCCTCCTTGAACTTCGATCATGCGTTACTATGGACACGCGTGTGTTTGTGCCTTAATGAGTGCAGATAACAGATAACAGTTGACTTCTTGAATCGCTGTATGAAAGCACTATAGGTTGAATAAAGGCATGCAACCATCTTGGTTGATTTTTTCAAACCATTAGTGAGTAGGTTTATGGCGGCCTGCTCAAATATCTGGGTTAGTAAATTTTCCATCTCACATATTGCATCAAATATATCTACGCTTTTGTTCATTTTAATCATTTTGTTATGTCCTCTGATTACATTATGTATTCACTCACATTTAAAAAAGTTTACAACCTCTATTGTGATGCCTTCATTAAAGCATCATAGTGGATGGCAACGTGCTTCGGAGAAACTAACTTAATCTCAAATGGCTGCCTGAAATATTAAGCATGAACTGTAGGTCACTGCGAGGAAAAGTGGATTATCTACAATCTCTTCTATCCTCCAATGTGTACCGTAATGTAGGATTAATTACATTGCAAAAAACTTGGTTGCATGATCTCTATGATAACAATTTGGTTTCTCTAAATGGTTTCAAAATTTTCCACCACGATCGATGTAGCTCTACTGAAAAATGTGGTGGTGTTGCTGCCCTCATGCATACCCACTGGTACGTTTCAAATTACACACATACTTCAAGTTCTCAAATGATTACATAGACTGCGTCACCATAAAATGCATC